TCTTGGTCATATTCTCACTCTCTACAGTTAATTAACATGCATAAAAGATCAAGAGGTCTTTATTTGGGTTGTAATAGGGCTTGGCTAAAGGAAGGATAAATAAGAGAGAATTATCTAAAGCATTCGAACACATAAAGATTATGGTAAAGAGTAAACACGTAGACTAATAATCCTTTTTTTTTCCCTCTTTTCTCCTTTTTCTTTTTCAGCACTTTAATTTTATTATTTTTTTTTTATTTTTCTGTGCTTTTCTTTTTCAACACCCAATACTTTTCTTTTTCTTTTTCCTTTTTCAACACTTTTATTTGCATAGAAGCAATAAAAAAAAATTTCATCATTTTCCAACCTTTGTTTTTTTTTTTGAACTCATCAAACCTCCTTTTCCACCACTTAAAATTACATGATGAAATACTCACGTTTACACCCTACCATAAAATTTCTACAATCCAATCCTATTTAAGATAGATGTGTATGTGGAGTGACTAATTAAAATAACAGGTATTAAGAAAAGAACAGGCTTAGGCTCAAAGGACTACACAAAGGATATCATAATGGTTGGCTTTTTGGTTAAGTAGCTAGAACAATAAAAATGCCTCAATCATTTCAAACATGCATGTAAACAACTACTTCAAGGAGAAATAAAGCAAGTTCTAGAAGTATTTTCAACAGAGAAGTGCACACCGAAAGAATTTTCTGTTTAGGCTCAAAACTTAACGGCTATAGGTGTGCAATTCAGTAAATTATGCTCTTTCTCAATCACTCATACAGAAATTTTATTATTCTCGCTGACTCTTAGACTAACTCAATCAATGCTTACTCATAAAAATAAAATATATCCTAAGTCATCATATATATAATAGATCAATTTCACTGACTAATTCTCCATTGGCATAATCCAATTATTATCAATAAATCAAATAAAGAGGAGAAAATAAAAAATTAAGATTAAGAGGAGAGTTTAAAATAAGTTTCCCTGTTTATCTGGAAAAAAAATTTGAAGCTCTACTCATCCTCACAGGGAAATCTGACTCTGCTACTGTATATTGGTGCTCCTCATTTCTTGATTTAGAATTTTGTTGTCCTCAACAATGGACTACACATCAGAAACAAAGAGCACATAATAATAATAAAAACAAGCAGTAGCATAAGAAATTCATCAAATATACATCACCATGGATAAAAAGTTAAAACTAAAATAAAATAAACAAAAACAAAAACTAAATGTAACAAAATAAAATAAAAGCATAAATCTGTTGGGTTGCCTCCCAACAAGCGCTTGTTTAACGTCATTAGCTTGACTTTGACAAGTTTTTAAGTATCAGTGAAGCTAACGGGACAGATACCTTATCCTTGTTAACTTTTCCTCCGTGATATTATTTCAACCTACAGCCATTAACCTTGAAAGGGTTGTTGGCATCAAGAGGAGAAATTTCCACTGTTCCGTAAGGAAATACCTTTTTAACCACAAACGAACCTGACCAACGAGACTTGAGCTTACCTGGGAACAACCTCAGACGTGAGTTGTACAATAATACCTGTTGTCCTGGCTCAAATTCCTTTGGAATTATTTTCTTGTCATGTCACTTCTTTGTTTTCTCCTTGTATATCCTTGCATTCTCGTAAGCAGCTAACCTGAACTCATCCAACTCATGTAATTGCAATAATCTCTTTTCATTAGCCTTAGTTGGTTCAAAATTTATAAACTTTATTGCCCACATTGTTTTATGCTCTAATTCAACCGAGAGATGACAAGACTTACCGTATACCAGTTGGAATGGTGACATACTTATAGGAGTCTTGAAGGTTGTTCTGTATGCTCAGAGTGCATCTTCAAGTTTCTTTGCCCAATCTTTTCTGGAGCTTCCCACAGTCTTCTCTAAGATTCTTTTCAGCTCTCTATTAGAGATCTCAATTTGCTCGCTTTTCTGAGGATGATACGGTGTAGCTACTTTGTGTGTGACTCCATACTTCGTGAGCATACTCTCAAACTGTTTATTGCAAAAGTGGGTCCCTCCGTCACTGATGATAGCTCTTGGGACTGCAAATTTAGTGAAGATGTTCTTCCGCAGGAAAGACACAACTCTCGAAGGAGGATTAGTCTCACACTTCCTCCGATATCAATGATTAATTCAATGCACCATCTGTTCCAAGGAGGATCTAGCCTTAGGCGCAATACTCCGAGGATAAGATGGATGAAGGAAGTTGTGTGAGGATACCTCTAGATTATCTACCTAAAAAAATAAGAAACTACGTAATTTTAACATGAATTCGATCATCTAAGATGAGTTTCGTCACACCATTTGGTGGCCTATCATCAAGACGATGCAAACCAGGTTCTAGATGAGTCGCAAACTGAGCTAGCCAATGATCACATTTATTCGCTTAACGCGGCACCAGTGAGGCAATGACATCCCACTGCTTTTGAGTCCACCCCATGATTTCAGTTACTGTGGCTGAGTCTCTATCATCTGTTGCATTTTCTTGCAGCATCTCAACAGCATTAGCTGCATCACCCTCTATTATTAATTTTCGAATGCCAATATTCCACGGGAACTCCATCCCCGTTAGGAGGCCTTGTAGTTCAGCCTCTAAAGGATTCAAATACCCAAGGTTACTGGTGTAGCCACCTACCCAATCTCCTCTTTCATTCCTGATGAGTCCCCCACAGGCACCTTTTTGAGTTCTTCCATTTGAAGTTTCATCAAAGTCTACTTCTGTCTTTGAATATTATGATAGTACGGAGTGTTTGGAACCTACGTTATATTGCATTGTTTTTTTCTTTTTAGAGTTACGTTGATAATCTATGCCAACTTTGGACAGATGTGAGATTCTTTGTTTCCTTTCACTATTTTAAATATGAGAACCATGTTTGAAATAACATTTAAAAGAAAAAAAAAAAGTAAAACCAATAAAATGTGGTCTAGAAGTTAGAAAGTGAGAAAACAGTTTTCTTAAAACATTGGCAGATTATTGACTATTTTATATTTGGGATCTGTGTAGGTGGGACTTATATTTTATTTTATTTTTCTCTTTTTCTTTATATGGGCAGCACACACTTTTATGTGTGTAGAAGATAAAAAGAAAAACTTCAAAAAAAAAATCTTGTAACTTTTCTCATAATCATTTATTCTCTTTCCAAAATTTTGAATCATTTATTCCCGTGATTTAAAGTTTTTTTATAATTTACCCCATAAGTGGGGGGTAAGTGATAAAGAAAGTTAAGTCAAATGAGGGGGTAATGACCGCATGTATGGCTAAACAACGTATTTCTTACAGTTCGATGAAATGTATTACTATTATATGGGTATTTCAAGAGACTGTGATTCAGATCAAGACTCTCCGAGAGTCATTTTGAGTGCTATTTCAGATATGGCATGAGAAGAAAAGGAATATGTAAAGGGCATAATGGCTCTATATTTGACGGTGAAAGTTAAGAATTGTAAATTCCGCCTACGATGATAAGAATGAGTATATATAAATAGAAAATATTATAGGAAGGATAGCCATTGTTTTGCCCTATATCTCTGTATGTGTGTGAGGACATGTTCTACTATATAGGTGTAGTGAGTTGTGCAGAGAAGTGTGAGATCTTCTGCCCTGAGATCCATATGTTTGCTATGAGAAAATAAGGATGTGACCCTTTAATGAACTTTGTTAGGCTGACTCAAGCGTATTGCGCCAATGAAAACCGGTTCATAGGAATCAAATTATGCCCTTGAATGCTAAAGTTTGGAAAAAGTTCTCATATGTCAAATAAGTACATAAAAACAAAATGATAAATACTTTAGTCCATGGCCGCCAACATTATAATTTAAAACGTAGTTTTTTACCCAACCCGAAGGGGAATACTATATTGTTTAACTTATCTTATACCTAGTTATATATAATATTCATCTCGTGCGCTAATATAGTTTTTGCTGGTTCAGAGCTTGAGATTGTGATCATAACGTCAAATGCAGGCCTCATACATCAAAATTAAAAAAAATAGAAATGGTGGAAATAGACGTCGAAATTATGTATTCATAAGAAGGTCTATTATACATGGTTTATATAGCTGTCATGGAGATTTGAACTTTTTGCTAACGCCGAGCTAGCTGGACCACATGCAGTAAATTCAGAAATCTATACTCTTATATATATGATATTAGATCATGTGAAGGGATCTCAGCCATCTAAATATAAATTAATGGTGATTGCAAAATACATTAAGATATATAAAAGGATAAAAAAAATAATAACTTTGATTTGTATTTAAAGGATTAAAATCCTCTCATATGACCTTATTTTATATATGAGAATATTCATTTCTTATGCATGTCCTTTTACTAATTTATTTTAAGAATAGTTTTTTATAATGTTTTGATAAAATTATCAATAAAAAATTAAACCAATGACATACTTAGTGGCGTCATCCTTTTCCAAATACGAGTTATAAAACATGGTCTAGCTGTACGTACGTTGACATAATTTTTTTAAAGCGATGAAGAAAATGAACCTTTTTTTATGCTACTCGATCCCTCTTACACACAAACAAATTAAACGAAAGAACCAAAATATTACTTTATATAAATTAATTTTGTTATCAAAGTCACGACGGAATTCAAAAGAATATTTATAAATACTTGCACACAATGACATAACACGCAACGAATTTGTCCTCTTACTCTGCTAAAAGAATATACATATTATTTAATTTTGAATTTGGCATCATTTAAGATTAAACATTATATAATTTATATTGATCGATTTTATAAGACTTTTCATTAGCAAAATAAATTTTATATAAATGGACACTTTCCTACGGCACTAATAGAATAGTCACCCTCCTCCTTTCATACTACAAATTTTTTATTTATTTAATGTTTAAAATAATAATCATTCATCGATAATATATATTTTTTATGTTAGTATAAGCAACATGCATTGTTCCAGCTCCATCAAAGAAACTATTACTACATTAGAGAACAGAAAGCTAGCTAGCTACCACAATCAGTTCCACTATGAGTTCTTTGAGCATTGCAGAGAAGAAGCCTCATGCAATTTGTATACCTTACCCAGCTCAGGGCCACATAACTCCAATGCTCAAACTAGCGAAGATCCTCCACTTCAGAGGGTTTCACATCACTTTCGTTAACACAGAGTTCAACCATAAACGCCTTCTTAAATCTCAGGGTCCAAATTCCCTGAACGGCTTCCATTCTTTTCGTTTTGAAACAATCCCTGACGGTCTACCAGAGTCTGATGTGGAAGCCACACAGGATACACCTTCCCTGTCTGCCTCCATCAGAAAAACATGCTTAAGTCCATTCAAGAACCTCCTTCACAAACTCAACAACGCCACAGATATCCCTCCTGTTACGTGCATAGTTTCTGATGGTGTCATGAGCTTTACCTTAATTGCTGCAAAAGAACTTGGCATCCCAGAGGTCCTTTTTTGGACTATGAGTGCTTGTGGCTTCATGTGTCTCCTTCACTTTGGTGAACTCATCAAAAAGGGCCTTACACCCCTCAAAGGTTTATACTTATGTTTTCTCTTTTACACTGAAACATAATTTATATGTTCAGATGAGTTTAATGATGTAAAGTATATGTGTTTGACTTGCAGACTCGAGTTATTTAACAAATGGGTATTTGGAGACTGCTATTGATTGGGTACCAGGGATCAAAGAAATTTTGCTGAGGGATATTCCTAGCTTCATCAGAACCACAGACCCAGATGATCTTATGCTGGAGTTTGTACAGGAAGAGTGTGGAAGAGCTCTGCATGCTTCTGCAATCATTTTGAACACATTTGATGCTTTAGAGCATGATGTTTTGGATGCATTGTCGTCCATTTTGCCTCCTGTCTACTCCATTGGTCCTTTAAATTTACTATTGAATCAAGTCACAGATGAGGAGTTGAATACAATTGGATCTAACCTTTGGAAGGAAGATCGAGTGTGTCTAGAATGGCTTGACACCAAAGAAACCAACTCTGTTGTTTACGTGAACTTTGGGAGCATCACAGTTATGACAAGGGAACAATTGATTGAGTTTGCGTGGGGACTTGCTAATAGCAACCAAAACTTCTTGTGGGTCATTAGGCCTGATCTTGTGGTTGGTGAAAACGCAGTTCTTCCTATGGAGTTTGTCACAGAGACCAAAAAGAGAGGTCTATTGTCAAATTGGTGTCCTCAAGAGGAAGTGTTAGCTCACCCAGCAATTGGAGGATTCTTGACACACAGTGGTTGGAATTCAACAATTGAAAGTTTATGTAATGGAGTGCCAGTTATATGTTGGCCTTTCTTTGCTGAGCAACCAACCAATTGTCGATTTTGCTGCAAGGAATGGGGGATTGGGTTGCAGATAGGAAGTGATGATGTTAAAAGGGACAGGGTTGAGAGCCTTGTGAGAGAGTTGATGGAGGGGCAGCAGGGGAAAGTGTTGACCAAGAAAGCCTTGGAATGGAAGAAATTGGCAGAAGATGCCGCCATTCACAAAGATGGGTCTTCATTTTTGAACTTTGATAACATGGTTCGTCAAGTTCTTTTGAGTGAGAAACTAAAATCAAGTTAGACCAGAATGGTGTTGTCTACGCATCTAATCTTGGAATTTGAATTTCATTTGTAGTACTTCCCCATTCAAAGAAGCTAGTTAATACTTGTCATTTTAAGTGTTTCTCTTCTTTTCAAATGTTTCTTATATGTCAGACGCATAATAAATCCAATTCCCTATGATTTTCAGCGGCACATTAATTCTTCTCTCCATTGTACGTTATTTCACCATTTTTTTTGTGGGCCACTGAAGTTATATATAAGACTCTGAACAAAAAACAACAGGCAGAGGGAAGCAAAAGAAAAAGAAGCTGCTACACAACAGAGGAAAAAAACCAGCTAGGCCCACTCTCCAGTCTTCTCACAACCCAAGCTGTCCACTGTTGAGGCATTGACGAGTTCATTAGTATAACAATATAAGCGTCCAATTTTTTAGAAATATAATATAAAAATTATTCATATCCTTTTACCTAGCTTGAGTTTTCGGGAAATTAGTTTCATGACTGTAGAATCAAAGCTTCTATGATCAAGTGATCTGAAATTCGATCATTGTGTTCTCATTGTTCTAGTAAATTTGTTTCATGTGTCTTCGCTTAATTAGTTTAAGACTTTTGAAATAGTTGCATGACACAATAAATGCTCAAGCCAATTTCAAGGAAGAGTTCATCTATGGATGAAAGTCTAAAATAAAAAGCGTGTATATTTGTAATTTTTAATTGAACAAGTGTGATTGATTGTGACTAAGTCTAACACCTATATAATTTAATATCTATTTGCCTATGTGTGCATGCAGCCGTATGAGATCATCAGGAAAGTAAATAAGAAGACTTTATTATCAAGAGTGGAAACAATCGGCAGGTTGAATCTGACGAAGTCTGAAAATGATATGTTTTTGGACCCTACATGGACATGTTAAAAAATAATAAGAAAGACTACCTAGTGATAAATTTTTGCGTCAAACCGTAATTACAGTATCGGGAGGAGGAAGTCGTGAACTATGCCTCTATTCACTTCTTATTATTTTTTAACATGTCCATGCCTCTATTCACTCTTATCTTTCATTTGTTGACCTTGTAAGAATGACATCATGTTAGAGAAATTTTTTATAATACTCTCGTCCCACCCACTTTTTCATACATCCCTCTAATAAAAACCAAACACCAATGCTGATTCATTACAAAACCTGCTCTCACTTGCAGCTTGGATAGTATCTTCATATACACAATCTAACATGAGATGTTGGTTTCTCCTGTATAAAAAATAAAGTCAGATTTTTATTAAAATTTAATCAAATATAAAATAATTTCAATTGATTAAATTTATACATTTTGCTTTTTCTTCAGGCCATACTTAGTACGTAGCCAATTTCCACCACATATAAAAGCTTGGATAAGTATCAATAACTCTTCTTCCAACACTAAATGTTGATTCTGATACTACTATAGATATTGGTAAAGCGAGTATGTCTCTTGCCATTTGTGATAAAATTTTATACTTTAAGCTATTACTCCTCCACCATTCCAAATCATCAAATTAAGATAAGATTTTGCATGATATTTATAAACACCTTCTTTAAGATATGACTTCAACTCTAACTTTGCTGCAAGAATAGATTCTTTTTCATGCACGATGCTCATGATTTGGTCAAACCCAGAGGCAGAGCCACGTGAAACTTGAGTAAAGGGAGTAGAAGAGGACATGTTCAGCCTAAATGCCACCTGACTATCAAAGGGTGACTCTTGCAAACTTAAAGCTGAATATTCATTATACAGAGCTTCTAAAGACTCACTCACCTTATCGATGTTAATTTGTGTCTTAATTTCTGATTTGTATATAAGTGGAAAACAAATTTTCACCACATGGAATTTGCATCGTGGGTCTAAAACACTAGCAATGGCCATCGACATATTGCGTTCTCCCCAAAATTTTTCAAATTTATCTTTCATAAACCTTGTCATTCCTCTCATAAAATCATAATTGTCTCCAACTGCAGCATTAATCACTTGCTTTACACTAAACACTTCATGAAGGTATAAATTTGTTGTAGGATAATCAATATATGACGTAACATTAGTAGCTTGAGTGAAAACTTCTAAAAGATGACATACCTTTTCAACCTTTTCTCAATCCTCAATAGATGGAAAATAATTATAATGTGGCTTCCACTCCTTATATTCTAGAAAAACATCTTTTTTTTGAAAATATCCCAATCGGTTCATTGCTTCGCAACTAATCCGATTCCGGGCGGGTCCAGGATTAAGGCTTTAAACCCCTCCCAAATGTGGTACTGGGGAGATGCGAACACATGCTCTCACCCCCACTTGCTTAGCTCCCACGCGCCAACTGAGCTACCACCATTTGGTCTAGAAAAACATCTTTAAATTTAGAAGAAACAGACAACATTTCATATATTGAATTCCATCTAGTAGGACAATCAATAACTAATTTCTTTTTTTTGCACCCATCTTCTTAACAATATCACATAAAGTCTTCAACATTGAGTTAGAATGATTAACATATTTGAACCTTTCACGAATATTTTAATTGATACCCTTGATTTGACTAAGACCATTTTGCACTAGCAAATTCAATATGTGCGCATAACATCTCACATGAAATAGCTGTCGACCAAGAATTAAATTAGTGTTTCTTGCTAATGTGCTTTTCAAATTTCTTATACAAACATCATTGTTGGCTGCATTGTCCACAGATATTGAAAATATTTTATTTTCAATTCCCCATAATTGCTGATATTTAAAAATTGCAACAATGACATCAACTCCACGCCTTGGAGGTGGAACCTTAACAAAACTCAACACTCTCTTTTGCAATTTTCATTCTGAACCAATAAAATGGCCTGTGATGACCATATATTCATCTATTGGTGATTAGACTTCCACATATCAGTGGTTATACTGATCTTAATCACACTCGTCACTAAAGCCTTTAGAATTTCTTTTCTGGCTCATATAATGCAATACAATCTTTTTTTTTGCAGTAATACGCGAAACTTTCTCAAAATTAGCATTCGCAAACTTAAAGGCTCACATCCAAACAACGTCCTCCACAATACTGAAAGGATTCTCGTGAACCATAATTGCAGTAGTAATAATTTCTCTCTTCTTTTCATTGGTATACATCCCTCCAAGTGCAAGAAAATGATTCAAAATAGAACCTGTAAGCTGGAATGTTGAAGTGGATTGCTTCTTCCCTGATTGGTCTAATTTTCTATTCGAGCAATCTTGTGAATGCCTCCTTAGATGATTGGTGCTACCTCCAACTCCCCCAGTTGCAAATTTTTGTTTGCAGTAGTTACAAACTACTTTACGCACAACATTAGCAATGTCCACTTCATGGAAATTATTCCAAGCCACGAAAGTTTTTTGCCTCTTTTTTACCAAGCTTAGATCTTCAAACTACTAGTTACAAACTACTTTACGCACAACATTAGCCATGTTCATTTCATGGAAATTATTCCAAACCGCGGAAGTTTTTTGCCTCTTTTTTACCAAGCTTAGATCTTCAAATTCTTCACCTTGTGGGACTGGTTCATTTTCAACATCATTGTTTCCATCTTGATTTGAGAATGAAAAAAAAAATATCGATTGTATACAATCCGTTCGAGCTCAAGTTGAAGTTATAAGATGTACTTTTTTCTAAAATGACAGACCCAAAAAGCACCAACAACAGTTATCGTACTCTACCGTAAAATATCCATATTTGCATTATAACTAAACAAAAAAATTTACTGGTTTCTGTGCTTCTGGCTTTCCAGAAAATAATTTACTAAGACCTTTTTTTTAAAGCCAAGCAGGTACAATATATAAAAAGAAGGCATATATTTCTTCCATACATGCAGGCAATAACATTTTCAAGAAGATTTTAGTATCACAAAAAGATGGTCTGGTATGTTAGGAAATTATATTTTCTAATAATCATTGTGGGTCCATATTATACAAATAATTATATTGTGCTATTTATATATATTGGGTAACTTAAAGTGATCAGCTAAATATTCCCAAATAGATTCCTAAGTGAGTATGGGCTGAATGAGTAGATACCGGTGTTGGGCCAACTAGGTATCATGGGAGCTTATTGGCCCAATAATAAAAATAAAAACACTATAAGGGTTATGGTCCCCAAGACGTCAAATTTACAACCCTATTTTCTTTCCCCCATCAAGAGAGAGACGACACACTAAGGAATTCGGTTTTAGGGTGATTTGACTGAGGAAGACTACAAACCCCAAGAGACAAGATCAAAATTATTCTGCTGCAATGGAGACAGGTATGCCTCCACCTTTATGTAATTATTTCTCTATGATTTGGTATGATGGAGCTTGGCTTGTAGGTGATAGCTATCACCAAAAGGTTTAGAGGAATTAAAAAAAGTTCTAACAATTGGTATCAGAGCCATAATCATACTGAATCATGAGGGAATTAAGTTTTGTGATTTTTATATATGATGAATCGTGAAAAGTTTTGTTTTATTGTCTTTTGGCATAAAGTTTACTATTTTTTGAATGTGGGTTCCATCTCATGTATTTTGTATTAGCTATATAGTGTTACTTTTGTTCCCTAATGGTAATTTTTGGTTTTGGAACAAAAGTTACAATCTTTTGAAAATCTAGAATTCGCAGTTTAATAAGGGTTTATTATTTAAACTTTTGAATCTTCTTAAAGATGGAATGTTTGGAAAAAATTTGGCTTTGTAATTAGGGTTGGTTGTTTGAATTGCAAATTTAAATGAACAATTAATTCTCATAGAATGTTTTGGACTTATAGTTTGAAAGAAATCGAATGTTTAAGGTCTTTGGTTTTGGGATTTTTTTTCTTAGATTTGATATTCTTTGAAAAGGCTTACATGTGCGTCGTTTGTGCATTAATTTTTAAACCTTATAATGAAAAGGTATTTATTGTGTGCATCATTTTCAAGCTTTCATTTGAAAAAGGCTTACATGTGCGTCGATTGTGCATTAATTTTTAAGCCTTATAATGAAAAGGTATTTATTGTGTGCATCAT